CAGCCCTTATACATACACACTATACCTTGTACACACAAACTACAGCCCCTATTAATAAACACACACATTGCAGTCTCTGTACACACCCTCTAGAGCCCCTAGATACACCCACAATATACAACTGCTAGACAGTCACACATGCATATAATCCCTAGCCACACATAGTATACCACACGCAATTACACAATCAGCCCCCAACCATGCACAGCACCACAGACAGTCTCCCCACATATGCGCACAACACCCTTTACTAACCATGTCCTGCTTTTGACCTCTGGTATCCCTATTATATGGACACCAGACATAAGTCACCAGCAAACCAAGAGCTGTGCTGTGTAATACAAACATAGGGCAATGTTCCCATGTGAGAATTCTCCAGCAAGGTTCTATGCTTGAAATGAGGGGGAGTGCCTGTCATTGCTAATCTGTCATCTGTCCCTACCCCCCTCTTACTGGGCTGTTCAGCTTTAAAATGCTCAGGCTGAATTCTTTTTCCCAGTCCGATCATGGCTTTGAATACACAGGACAGTTTATATATGAAAAAATCTCTCAGTGGAATGGGCAGTTTAAACCAGTATGAACCAGTACAAGTTGGGGACCATCTGGGAGCAATGACTCTTGAAATCAAGTTTGGCATCAAAGATGTAAAGATATTGATATCAAATACCACTTCATCCAATCAGTTATCAATGAAGGTGGCAGCCATGGTTCTTGATTACTGCTCAACCAATAGGATGATAGCAAATATCCTGACCAAGTCTGCAACAAAGTACAAGTTGGAAGAGTTCTTGAATTTTTTGTTTGGCATGTGAGTTTCTTTAAAAAATATAAACATTTTAAAAAAATAAAAAAATATAGATATATATACATGTGAGATCAAGTGCAGTTGTTGAGATATAATCATAAGATACTCTCAATAGTGTTCCTATCCATGGTACAATAAAGTTGTTGCCCCTCCTCTTCCCCTGTTGAGTGTGGAGCAGAGTAATGCTGAACAGGTGTGTTATACTGTCCCTCCATTACTGTGTGCATTTGCCCAGTTATTTGACCCTGGGTATGTATATTAAAACAGAGGTGCATAAATCACTCGATGGAGTATGAGTATCAGAATGAGGAGTCGCAGGTGGGGACTGTGGAGAGTTACACAGGGAGGGTGAAATTTGGGGTTGTGATGGGTGAGTGGGTGAGTAGAACTGATAGTATTTTGTTAATGTGTTCTGATAAATGAATGGTGCATGAAGAGGGGAGAATGGAGAGTGATATTCATGAAAGTTAGAGAAGGAAAAAGGATGGTCATAAAAGGCACAGTGTGAGTGAGAGAGAGGAAAAAACAACCCTTTGGATGGGGAGAAAACAGTAGGACATTCAGGGAGATGCAGACACAAAGCAACCAGTCTTTCAGAAACTATGTCAATCTTTACATAAACTAACCATACAGGTAGGACAACTACATATAAGACAAAAACAATACTATCACCACAATCACGTGTGAATAGTGCAAAGTAAGTATATAAAATACTTCTCAGATAAATCAGGTGAGCAGCCTCCCAAGGATCACTTCCCAGGTAGTCATCTTTTAAACCAAGATACAGGCAAAACACAGATGGGATACAGCTGCAAAATCTAAAAAAACATAAACAGAACATAGTGCAATACAATTTGAACAGGTAATATGCGCTATATAAAGGTGCACTCACAAGAAGTAGATGTATAATGCGCTCAAGGGTGCATCCCCCGATGTAATTTGGGGGCTGAAAATCTCCCTCTGCAGCCAGCAGAATCTCAGGAAATCAGGACTTCGGATGGTAGTATAAAATAGCGGCTTTATTATAACTCCAATAAAATGATAAAACAGCAGTAGTTGTGGTCTTACGCATTTCATCCCACACTTGGAACTTCCTCAGAGACCATAAAATCAAAGCAATTACAAATACTTGTACAGAAATAGCAGCCTAACAATTCCCTGCCCAGAGTCCCTTTAAATAGGGTTAATCCCTGAGTTTATTGGTGGTTCAGTGGGCGTTGTTTCCAATCCGTGGTCCTATTGGTTCCCTTCTTGCACTGGATCACCTGTAGATCTTCAAAGAAATCATCTCCCATATATCGGCTGGTAATTAGAAATCTGCCGAAAACCGGAACCAAAAGTGCGTTCCATTAGACACTTCCGCGTTCCATTAGATGAGTGATGTGAGCTGCAGAGATCAAAACAGCTATATACATGCCACAAAGTTCACTGAAGTGATGTGCGGCCTCTAGTGGTCGCCAAAGATAATACAAGATTTAACACTGATGTTAGCAGAACAGCAAGTATTCGATCTGCGGGCAGCAGAGGGAGATTTTCAGCCCCGAATTACATCAGGGGAGGCACCCTTGAGTGTATTATATATCTATATCTTGTGAGTGCATCTTTATACAGCACATATTACCTATCTAAATTGTATTGCAATGTGTTCTATTTTTATTTTATTTTTTAGATTATGCAGCCGTATGCCATCTGGGTTTTGCTTGTATCTAGGACAACTACATAATCAGATCTGCATTTTCCTCAGTTAAAATCTTCTTCACCTGACTATAGTGTTGACAAGTCTAAATAATAGACTGGAATACTCTGGAGCTGAAAGGGTAGCGCTGTTTAGTGAACATAGCCCATTCCCCCTGTAACTGGACGACACACAGTTCTGGGAGTCAACTAATTTTTATTTGTACACACGCTGCCTTTTATACATGGACCCCTAGCATGCGGTCTTCACAGCAACTTTACAGGGGCTTTTACAGCCTCTGGGTCTGAGAGATAATTGAGCTCTAAATCAGATAACTCAATTATCTCTCAATCCAGGAAATAATGTATAATATTTTAAAACACCCCAAAAACATACGAAAATATGATGGGAACCTTACAAGTCTTACACTCCCGAATAGCCTGGGTCAGAGCACAAAACATATCCAATAAGCACTCAGATCAATTTGCTGAGAAGTTGATGCCCCAAAATAGTTCCAGAGAATACAAGGCAACCGGCATCTTTGTTTGGGGATTCCTGCATGAACACCGACAAACGCTCCACCTGGCTCTTTAGCAGTGAGTGCTCCCCCCAGCTGGTATTTACTATCTCCTGAATGTGCTTCGTGTAGCTGGTCGGGAAAGTGAACAGGCAGCAGTACCATCTTCACCGGGATTCATGAAAACGTATAGCCGACAAGAGTTCCACACGTACGATGACGTGTTCTACAAGAGTTCCACACTGCTGCCTGTGTTCGGGAGACAGAATAGCCACCATGCACTGTACAACGTGCGTTCGGTTATATGAATGGCAGCCACCCAGGGAAAGCACTCAAGTTAATCCTTTAATTGCGGTTAACAGCCATGGGTGGTCAGTGTTCTAAGTCAATAATGAGGGGGACCACACATGCTCTGTTCGGTTCCCAAACGGGGGCATACAGCTCTGATCGGTAAATTCCAATATCGGTTCGGGCAATCCCAGGAAATTGTACCAGGTCCGCCACACATACAAAAAAATGCTATGTAACAGGCACTTTTGTGAAAATAAAATAAAGTAAACAGTGCTGAACTAACGAAGAGAGGGCCCTGGTACTAGAATTACAATTACAAATAACAATAATGGAGGTCATCCAGCAGCTCGTCTTTGCTCTATTTGGCTTTTGGTTCTTTGAAATTAAAATAAATGCCGCACTTTATGAGAGAAGGTTGCAAGCGGCGAAGAGAAACACAGCAGAAAAGAGAAGAAAACGTATGACTTGGGTCTTGAGCCGAGAGGAGAAGTACACTTTTGTGCGGCAAAGACAAAGACGGCAGCGCTACAGGGTAAGCAACTTTATGCCATTTGTCATGTAGTTCTACACGTATTAAAAAATAAAAATAATACTGAATATGTAAAAAATCTAATATAAGATGGGAAGGATATACATTATGTATTTAACAACATACGTGTTGCACACAAACAAACTATATAGAAGCATTTTGAGTGAGTTCACATATCTTACCAGTGTGCCGGGGATGCATTGGGCATACACTGTGGTTGGGTCTGTGGTTGGGTCGGTGTTGACGTCATCGTACTGGTGCTGCTGAACGATGTTGATGGACCATCGTCAGAAACATAAGAAAAGGTTGAGGTATCATTGGAGAGTCCATCAACTGTATCTGAAAATGCACAGATCAATAGTTCAGTCCACTGTACAAATAAAATGTGTTTTTTGTGCAAATAGTTAATGGTTTTGTGCAGTGAATTTATAAATGGTTAGGAGAGCGAAAGCCAATGCCAAGTAGGAAAAAACCTTACCAACGGGTTCTATCATGGATTCGAGAAGTGCATATGCAGAGTCCAGACTTCCCTCCCTACCTTGGTTTGCCGGCCGATGACTGTAAATATCATCCATGGCGTCGTACCACTTCCAAGTACTTCGACTGTTTCCACTACGGCTGTTGGCATACTTAATTTTTTTTATATTGGCCTTTCAGCTTTTTAAGCTTTGCCCTACACTGACCCGATGTCTGTTCTAATCCCTCAGCTGCCATCTGCTGAGAAATATCTTTATACACCTTTTCATTTCTCACTGATCCATCAAGCTCACTCTGAATAACGCTATCGCCAATTATAGTTAGCAAAGTGGATAGTTCCTGAGCCGACCAGACCCTGCTGTTGTTTGCAGGCATCCTTCTCCTATTATCTGGACTAAACGGCGACGTGGTGTTTGTTTCGCGCTTGCCTTTGACGTGAGCACTGATGTTTTTCTGTCCACCAATCAGTGGAATGTATCGTGTGACGCCAGTAGCTCCGCCCTAACCATACCATACAATTTCCTATGGCCCTACATCTGAAGGGGGACCATGAATGGTGCGGTTTGGTTTGGTTGTATGGGCCACTTTCATAATGGAAACACTCAAAATAGCGTATGGTACCGAACCAACCCAAACTGATCTGCTCAGTGGAAATGAGCCATATGAGATATTGTAAGCAAGAACTTCACATCTGAGGAAACCCAGGCTAGGGTGGAACACATTATGTGACTATCCTATATGGACTGCTGGCCAAGGACTTTGAAATTCCTGAGGAAAACATGTCTCTATATTTTAAGCTGTGAAGTGAGACTGGGCATATGCAGTGACTCTTACAAATATTGTTTGAAAAAAAAATAATGATTAGATGAAGAGTGATGTGGATGCTTATATAATTTGGGGAATGTCTTGAAAGTCTTGAAAAGTTCTCTTATGTGTGAGGAGGATACCTACTATTTCTTCACTATTAGAGCTCTTAACAAAATTACACTATATGTCTTTCTCTTTTCTGTTTTTGGTAATGAGGCACTTGTCTTAACGAAAAAGACTGATTAGTATGGATAAGGGCCATAGCGGTCACTTAAAAGTGATCCACTTTTTTGGAATTTCTTTTATAAGTAGAGAGTCAATGCTTCTAAAAAATCTGCATATGTTAAAGTTGGGGACAGTGTGTGCATTGAAAGCAATCCCAAGGAAATTATCAACAGTGAAAAACAAATATATTATTACGGTAGGCAGTTAAAAAGGAAAACGGGCTTGCTGAGGGAACTGGTGGAAGATCATTATCCAACTTCTGCTTCAAATAAGTGGGAGAAAATGATCAGAGGAAGGATAACAAAGGAGAGCAACATTTTCAATAGGCTCAGATGATTAAGATTCAATAATAATAATAATAATAGAAACATGCCAAATTAGTCACAGATGTCATCTCCAATATCTTAGAGCTGTGGTTTTAAACCAGTCCTCATGGCCCACCAAAAATCTAGGATTTCTGTACTTCACTTTTTTCTATTCCAAAGTAGATACTGACAACACCTAGACTGTTGGTGGGTCATGAGGACTTGCTTGGGAACCACTGCCTTAGAGAGCAATGAACATGACAAAATATCTGTACATGAAGATTTATATAATCAGGAGATGGCTATCTTGTTCAAATGCATTAAAGAAATCTAAATTAAAGAATTTGCTCTCGCTCATTGACATCTATGTAAGTTTACTCATAGCCTAGTGTTTGTTTTTGTTTGTTTTTTAAATCCTGGCAGCATGGTTTAAAACCTTGTATGAACATACATTTTTTTAAATTTTGTGTTAAATAAAACTAGAATTGCAAAACAAGATTTTTTTGAGATGTTACACTCAGTAAGTATATTTCTTTACATGGACCAACACGTAAGTAAGTAACTGTATGCACTCTATAAAAACACTGTAAATAAAACTAATATAATTTTTAATAAGGGCATTCACACATGTTTTTTTTTCCCTATATGATATCAGAATTTACATTTGCAAATTACAATACATTAAAAAAACAAAAACAGTCCCCTGAATCACAAAAATGAGCAGAAATTAACATATATGAACAGAAAAAGCATTACCATGTTGGGATGAAACAAAAATCTTTTATATTATTATTATTATTATGTTATTTATATAGCGTCATCAAATTCCGCAGCGCTTTACAATGGATGGACAAACAGACATGTAGTTGTAACCAGACAAGTTGGACACACAGGAACAGAGGGGTTGAGGGCCCTGCTCAAAGAGCTTACATGCTAGAGGGAGTCGGGTAAAATGACACAAAAAGGTAAGGATAGTATTAGACTAGTGACAGTTGCAGAAGAGGAATCAGTCAGGAGCTATTAACAGTTTAATTTATACGCTTTTTATGAAGAAGTGGGTTTTTAATGATTTTTTGAAGGAGTGGAGACTGGTTGAGCATCTAACAGAGGAGGGAAGCGAGTTCCATAGTAATGGTGCGGCCCTCGAGAAATCTTGAAGGCGAGCATCAGAGGTCTTCAGCAGATCGTAAGGGCCTAGACGGGACATACTTGTGTATAAGGGGGGAAAGATAGGTGGGAGCAGCATTATGTAGAGATTTGAAAGCAAGAACCAGAATTTTAAATTGAGCTCTATATTTTATAGGAAGCCAATGTAGGAACTGACAGAAGACTGAGGCATGGGAGGTGCGGGCGGACAGGAAAATAAGCCTCGCTGCCGTATTCATTATGGACTGTAACGGCACATGTTGGGAGCACGTAAGACCACTGAGAAGCGGATTACAGTAGTCAAGGCAAGAAAGGACAGTGGAATGGACCAACACCTTGGTTGCATCTGGCGTTAAGTAGGGGCGGATGCGTGCAATGTTTTTGAGATGGAAATGACTGGATTTGGCGATAGATTGAACATGAGGCTTAAAGGAGAGGTCGGAGTCAAAGAGAACACCTAGGTCAGTGAGCCTGCGTTATTACTACTTTTATATTACTACTTTTTAAGAGTGCAAGACTATTATACACATGACTTCAATTTCAGATGCCATATAGGAGATTAGTTGGAGTACTTCAGAAATTACCACCAGAAGCAGACTGGTCATGTCTATAATACACATAGTCTAGGCATGTTTCACAAACTTCCTCATGATCTATGTTGTTCACATGCATGGCAGCTCTCAACAGCTTTTCCAGACAGCCATCATTCATTATTAATGAGTCAGTCTGTGATGTGGTGGAACAAGGTTTTGGGGGATTCATAGTATAAGGGTACTCTGTGCTGTATATTTACAGCACAATTTACCATTTATAATGGGAATTTGTAAGATAACCCTTTAACCAAGGGAGACAATTACATCAAGTATTTTTTTTATAATAGATATAAGGTTTTGTATTCAATATGACAACAGCTGTCTAGTGGGGTGCTCTCTTTAGTGTCTCTATGGTGGTGTCAGCGCTGCAAAGACACACAACACACAGATAAGACAAATTCTAAGAGTCACACACTGATTCAGTCATTGCACATAGTCATATAGAGGTATACAGTCTCACATATGCACTACAAATGGAAATTACAATCCAATCCTAAACTGAATTACTTACTATTAAAATAAAACACCATTAAGATTGCATTGCTAATTTTAACCCCTTAAATACCTGCTTCATTCTCATGTCAGCAGTCAATCTAATCCAAATGCAATAATAGAGTCTGGCAGTTATAGTTATTATAGATAAACCGGTTCTGTACACACTCAGATATTATGCACACTAATTGTGCCAAAGAACCCAAATTACTGCCACTGTGTTTCAAGAAAAATAACAAACTTCAAGTCTAGTTAGTGGTGTCCATTGTTTCATAAACGTAAGATAGATTCCATGTCTTTGAGTGTTTCAGACCTAAAATTATTAAAATTGAGACAATAAATATAATTGTTGGTCAAAGACCATAGTGATCGGAAAAGAGAAATATGAGATTTGCATGACTTAGTATTAAGTACATATTATTATATAGGCAATACTGATTATACTATATTATTACAGACATCTGTATTATGCTTGCCTTAAGTCAAATAATTTCAATTTCATAATGGCAGTACTTAGCACTTAGTGTTCTTATGTTGCATACCATACATGCCTAGTCTTCAATATTGGATTCAGACAGAAGGAAATGCACCTGGAAATAGAACTTGAAATGGAATTTGCATAACCTACAAATCATTTCTCTTTTATGCTCTGTCAGTAAAATCCCTATGAGTGCTATCAAATTTGCTAACTCTTTATGCAATTCTCTGATGATGATGTTGGTAAGTCATAATGCAGTCTTCATCGATCTAACTTCTTCACAAATTACACCACATTTCTTTCCTGTTGTTGATATTCAGAAGGATGCATAGTGTAATGTTTATATTCTATTTATGACTATGCAATTTGAAGTTTAATTCATTTGCCATAGCAGGAAATATAATCTGTATAAGTTTACATTTTTAATTTGTGATAGAGTTAGGAGGAATAAAACATCATTCAACAAAGTATACAGATCTGAATTTAGTTTAAGTTTATAATTACTAAACAAGCTTGATTGCACTGTATCATTATTATAATTAATATAGGTACTGTTCTTTTTAAAATGATAGAAAACTACACACACATTGTTATCACTATGAAACTAAAACTGGTGCACTGATGGTTCTGATTTATTTATAGGAGCAACTCTGCAATATCAAATGTAATGCATTTTATCTTGACTTGCTTATCGCGACATGCAATAAGGTTGGGGTAAGACAGTGCGTGCGGCACTAGCAGTGATATGCTTTTACATTTCTTTTGTTTGTAAGTGTATTTTCAAAGCATATTTTAAGTGAATCTGTAGTATTAAACTATTGTTGTCACATGTTTCTAAAAACATATTTAATCTGGTCTGGAAGTATCCATATTAAATAAAGTGCATTAAAAGCATTCTTGTAGAATTGGTGATTTGCCTTGAAATGTCCTTTCATTGTGATTGCATTTAAAATGGTTAATTCCACTTATTTAAGGATTAATTGCCTAGTGTGATATTGTGTTTTCATTTACTTATTTGAGCTACGTCTGAGAGGAGGGTTTTGAGGACACTACATGAAGAGTTCTGCCTCGTTGGATATATTCTTGAGAGTTGTGATATTCCTTTACATCTGGCTGTTTTGTGAGTGCATTTCTACTAGTAGTGCAAATCTGTGTTAGGATGTATGACCCTAAAATGTTCTTTGCATTATTATTATAATTATTGCCATTTATATAGCGCCAACAGAATCCGTAGCGTTTTACAATATTATGAGAGGGGGATTTAACTATAAATAGGACAATTACAAAAAACTTACAGGAACAATAGGTTGAAGAGGGCCCTGCTCAAACAAGCTTGCATTCTATAGGAGGTGGGGTGTAAAACACAATAGGACAGGACATAGCATCAAATAAGGTGGGAGTGAAGAAGAGCTGGAGGAGAGAGTAGAGTGCTGCCCTTTAGGAGAGAACAAGAGACAGGTATGTGAGGTAGAGGTTACTCTGGGAGGCCAAAAGCTTTCCTAAAAATGAAAACTAGGGGAGAGCCTTAAGGCAGGCTATAGGAAGGGAGTCGCCCGAGAGAAGTCCTGCAAGTGTGAGTTGGCTGTACATGTGCGAGCAGCGGACAGGAAAAGGTCACGGGCAGAGCAGAGAGACTGAAAAGGGGCAAGATACAGGAAGCCAATGTAATGGCTGACAGAGGGGTGAGGTGTGAGAGGACCGACTAGAGAGGAAAATCAGTCTGGCAGCAGCATTCATTACAGACTGCAGTGGGGCAATATGTTTTTTATGAAGACCAATTTGGAGAGAGTTACAATAATCCATGAGGGAAATTACTAGAGCATGGACAAGCTTCTTAGTGGCATCTTGCATAAGAAAAGGGCGGATGCGAATTATGTTTTTGAGATGGAATCTACAGGACTAGTTAACATGCTGGATGTGAGGCTCAAAGGTGAGGCCAGAATCAAATATGACACCAACACAGCGCGCTTGCAATTTTGGACTGATGTGGATACCACTAACTTGAAGAGAGCATACAATCCGTATTAGGAGGAGCAAAGACAAGGAGCTCAGTTTTAGAGAGATTTAGTTTCAGAAAGCAGGAGGACATCCAGTCAGAGATTGGAGAAAGGCAAGCAGTATCTTCCTTAGTGTTGAGTAAAGTATCAGGGCTGGTGCAAGGATTTCTGCTGCCCTACACAAAGATCCATTTTGCCGGCCCCTTATGAAAGCAAATACAATCTCACAGAGGTTTATTCACTGAACTCTGAATTGCAGTGAGTTGAAAACCAAATTACAAAGTTTAAGCAAAAACAGAAGAACTCTGACTGTAGCCGAATTGGAGAATTCTTCTAGATCAGTTATTTTGGCCTAAATTTTGCCATATGGTTTTCAGTTAGGTCTGCCTAATACACACATTCTGCTTAATGTGTACATCCATAAACACACTGCCTAATACCTACATCCATACACACATACTGCCTAATACCTACATCCATACACACACACACACACTACCTAATACATGCATCCATATACACATACAGCTTAATGCGTACATCCATACACACATACTGCTTAATGCGTATATCCTTACACACATACTGCCTTATAGATGCATCCATACACACATACTGCCTAATATCTACATCCTTACACACATACTGCTTAATGCGTACATCCATACACACATACTGCTCAATACGTACATCCATACACACATACTGCTTAATGCGTACATCCATACACACATACTGCTTAATACTTACATCCATACATACATACTGCCTTATGCATGCATAGATACACACATACATCCATAAACACACATACTGTCTACTAGATGTATCCATACACAGATACTGCCTAATACCTACATCCATAAACACACAGTGCCTAATACATACATGCACCCTGCCTAATACATACATCCATGCACACATACTGCCTAAGACATGCATCCATACACATACTACCTAATACATACATTGTTCATTGAATACATAATTTATCGCTCTGATAAATGGCATATTCAATGCATTTGGTTAATTGAATTTAAAAAACTAGCACAGTCAATCACACTCACTGACATACATTCATTGACAGACACACTCACTGACAGACACACACACACACACTCACTGTCAGACACACACTCACTCACTGACAGACACACACATACACACTCACTGACACACATACTCACTCACTGACAGTCAAACACACACACTCACTGACACACAGACTCACACAATTTCATTTTTTGAGGCATTCAGCCTCCCTACCTTCCAGTGTGGGGCAGCTTCTCACTCCTCCAGGACGCTGTTTAGTATGTTGGGGCTGGAATGATGTCATATTCCGGCTCCTGGCATCACAGAGAGTGTGTGAGGAAAGAATGAGAAGCTGCAAGAACATCCTCCCTCGCCACCTTCTTGGCCCCCTGTGACAGGGCACCTCTGGGTGCCCACACTTTCGGGCAACTTGAGGAATGGCTCAAACGCGGCCCAGCACTGCGGCCCAAGACAGGGGCATCCCACAAGGAAACATCCAGGTGGGCGCCCTAGGCCTAGTTCACCTAACA